AACAGAGGAAAGTTGTATGTTTCATCGTTGCTACATCACACCCTGACTGGCTCGACTCCTCCCTGAGACCCTTCTGTAAGGGGATGTCCAGTGGCCTACAGCTGGGCTTTGGGTCTCCATTGCACCCCAATCCCCCAATTCACTATGATAAGATTTTTTGTTCTGATGATGCCTGATACCTGATACCTTCGACACCTCATCCCTTTGACACCTCATGATCACGCAGGCTGGTGTGCTTCTTCCATGTGGGCTTTGTTGCTTCTGAGTTAGATGGCCGCTTGTTTACCTTCTAGCCTTTAAGACCCCAGACACTGTATCTTTTGATAGCCGGACACCATCAGCTTTCGTCACCAGATTTGCTTATGCACCTATTTGTCTTCAGTGATTTTATCATGGAGGTGAGCACACAATGATATGATTTTTTTGTTCTTTGATGCCTGATAACTGATCCCTTTGGCACCTCGTGATCACACAGGCTGGTGTGTTCTTCCATGTGGGCTTTGTTGCTTCTGAGCTAGATGGCCGCTTGTTTACCTTCAAGCCTTTAAAGACCCCAGATGCTATATCTTTTGATAGCTGGGCACCATCGGCTTTCTTCACCACATTTGCTTATTCACTCGCTTTGTCTTCCTCCCTACTGTTCTTAAGGTTGTCCTTCTGTCGCATATCGGCACAGAAAAACCTCGAGTGATGGTTCCCTCCTGGCTTAGTCATGTAGTCAAATCTTAGATCTCATTAGTGATTTTTCAGGAGAAAACTGCCTTAGAACCTTTTAACTTTAGATTGACGAGAAGAAGAGTCAGGATTGCCCAGGATTAAACACAGAACCAAACCAGTTCCCGTTGAATTGATCCTGACTTGGGGTGACCCCGTGTGTGTCAGGGCAGAATGGTGCTCCAAGGTAAAATTTTCTGGGAAGTAGATTGCCAGGCCTTTCTTGAAAGGTGCCACTGAGTAGCACCACCCGCCTTTCCCCTAGCAGTCCAGCACACTGATTGCCACCAGGGACTGTACCATTTCTTAACTTACTTCCTCCTCCTGAAGTATAGCCTCTGCAGCCATGAAGGGATGGGATGCAACCCCTGGAATAAGGCCAGGCTGCTAGTAATTTTGTAATCAGTTACTAAGTTAGTGATGATCGTGGTTGGTGCTGTGTTTGTTGAAGTGCAGAGTCACCAGGGTTGTGACAACACGGAACCAGAGACATGCAACTGTGGGCCAACTTCCCTTTTGTTAGGAAAATAGCCTTGCCTTTTCTCCCGGATGGAGAGTTTTGATGAGCAGTGTTGGAACTGGATGCAGGCAGGCGAGTGGATTCCAATTCCCAGCCACCCCGCATTGCCGAGCAGAACCGCCTCATTGGGTCTTGGCTGTCGTCTTCATAGGAGAGCATCTCACCAGGTCTTTCTGGGGTGGGTTAGAACTTGTAACCTTTCAGTAAGCGTTGTGCCAGCAGGGGCCCTTGGGATGAGCACTGTGTTTGCGTAGTTATGCGTCTGCACACCTGAAGACCCCAGGCGGTGCTCTCCGGCAAACTGCTGGCTTCGATGCTGAGGTTCAGACTCCCCTCTCCAAGGGAGAACGATGAGGCTGTTTGCTCCTGGAGAGATTCACAGCCTCAGAAATCCTACTTTGAGATGCTATGAGTCAGAGTTGACTTGATGTCAGTGGATTTTGGGGGTTCATCCAGTAACCCAGGAGTAGTGGTCATTGCACAGCCTCTGTGCCAGATTTGGTCTGAGTTAAGGGAAATCAATTGGTTATCTGAAAAATCGGATGGATGACATTTGTTTCCCCTAATTTCCACCTGTTTTGCTGGTGAGATTGCTTTTCCCTTAAATGGATGCCATCTGTGTCAAAAACAGAATGGATTTTTGATTGTAAACAAATATCACAACAACTTTAGAAGAACTGTAAAATTGTTAAGATCTAAGTGAAACGGGGAGCTCACTTTGATCTTCATTCTTTGAAGTTTAGGTGAAATTCGGGGGTCTTGGTAAGGGTAACATGTAGAACTGTGCCCGCCCACAGCCTTGGAGGTAGAAAACAGAAGGGAGTTAGGAAAAGGAAATTACAGGTCCGCAGATTTTATAATTATAGACAGCCTTTGATTACAGCATTTTTATTTCTGGATCAATTCTGGGTTGACTTCAGGTTTTGCCTTCTGTGACAACCCTTCTCCCCAAATCTACAGTCCCCCAAATCCAAGGATGTTGTGTTCACCAAAACAACCAAATCAATCGACTTAAAATAATTAACAGTTGCGTCAAAATATTATTGTTCCACACATGCAGAGCAGAGCATGCTGTACAGGCAGTTAAATTTGCACCTACTAGTGTTATAGAAACAGTGTCTTCCTGAAGCTCAAATCAAATGCAACCCTTTAAAATGTGCTTGTTGTTTTCTTTTCCCTAAAGCTGAGCGGGAAAGGCTCTAAACATGCCTACTTGCCCCTGTCTTGTCCCATTGGAGAGAGAACGAGGCCGGTCAGTGTATGAGGAACGGGACCACACGAAGCATGTAGGCTTGGGCTCCTTGGCACAGAATTCCCAACTCTTGCTGGGATTCTCCCACCCACCCCGTTTTGAGTATTGGTAAATGATTATGCCCCATGCTGCTGGGAATCCAGCCAGGGCACATGCTTGTGAAGAGGCTGTTAGGGTGGAGGGCAAGTGTTCACTCTTTATCAGGCAGAGTAAATGGAAACTATGGAGCAGAGTTAGGGCCAAGGGCTGAGGTGCTGTCCTTGCCGACCGCTGACTAGCAGGACTCTTAGGCCATCCGTGTGGGTTCTGTTGACACGAAGAGACATGGGGGCCAAGGAATGTTTCGTGGGCGCACAGCCAGGGCTTATTGGCCAGAGCTCCCCCAGGCTATCAGCACAGCATCAGCAATGTCCTCCGTGCCCCTTCTCTTGCTTCTTGGCGCACGTATTCGAGGAGCACGCAGACATAGCATTCGTTTCACTGTTCATTCGTGGTTTTGGGAAAGGCTTATGGGAGCGAGGGGAGAGCCTGCTGCCTCCACTGCCAATTACTACAGATGCAGGCGAAGAAGGGACTTAGGAACGAACCTATTCTCAGTGGGCTGATGCTTCTCCCATTACCTTTGTAACCCACTATTGAAACGGGAGCTTTTGGGTTCTTCCTTCCAAAAGCCCTTGCTTGGGGGAGTGTGCCTGTGCTTAGCACCCCCAGCAGGCACGCCCCTTCCTTACCCCGGTGTTCTCTTCTCCTGAACAGTCTTCTGTGTGCGCCAAGATCGTGCAGCTCCTGGGACAGAATGAGGTCGACTGCCACCAGAAGCAGGTGGTCATCCTGAGCCAGGACAGCTTCTACCGGGTCCTCACTCTAGAGCAGAAGGCCAAAGCCCTGAAGGGCCAGTTCAACTTTGATCACCCAGGTGAGTGCAGGGCTGGGTGGTGGTATTTGGGGGGTAGCACACACACACACACACACACACACACTGACTTGGTAGGGTCATTACAGGAGAGAAAGAATGCAGAAGCGTGTTGTGCTCTGTTTGATTCATTACTTGAAACCAAGGTGACACTGTATGACCGTATTTCTCCTGGTAGACCAGGGCAGTGTGTAGTGTACACACACAGCAACTGTGTCTGTCTGTCTGTCTGAAGCTGCCCGTGTCATCGCCCAGCCCACCCCTCTGAGCCCACCTAGCATGAGTGAGGAACTCGCTGGCCAGCAGAACGGGATACAGAAGGTTCAGGGTGGCTGCTTGGGTGGGTTTGCCCAGACAGCCCCGGAAGAGAGCGCCGCTCCCTTAGCTGGTCTGTGGTTTGAGCTTCTCGAAATCAGTGCTTATTATATATTCCCCAAGTCCCAAGCATGAGGTCCTGGGTGGTGCAAGCATTAATGTGTTGGATCGATAACTGATAATTGATAATCAATAACTGAAAAGGAGGGTGCATCTGAACTCACTTGTACATTCCATTTTGGGACATGGGTTTTCATTCTGCATTGGATGGACAAGCCTTTCCAGGTGTGATACTGGCCAGGCAAGGACGCTCTGGGCCCACTTGCAGAATTCCCTTTAAGATGAAGATGCATTTCAGCTTGCTATGCTTTCCTCCAGATGCCTTTGATAATGAACTCATCTTCAAAACGCTCAAAGAAATCACCGAAGGGAAAACGGTCCAGATTCCCGTGTACGACTTTGTCACGCATTCCCGGTGAGTTGTTCCGAGCCCCTGCCCCTCCGAGTGTCTCCAAGGACCGAAGACTCCCCGTGCATCCTGCTTTTAAGGGTGGGGCCGCATCAACAGCATGAGGAGTTGGTTCATCCAGGCGCTTCCTGGAACAGTGTGGACATCACCTTTGTTAACTGAAGGTTGGGCTAGTGAGTTTGAACTTGGGTGAGGAACTGACCATTTGTCTGCTTGACATCCCTGAGCTGTTGTTCCTGGAACAAGATGTTGGGCAGGGTTAGAGGAAGGGCAGGAGGAAGCAGGAAGAAGACTGCTTTCTGCCCCTGGTTTGCTTGGGGAGGGGATGGTCTGAGGGTCCATCCACAGACATGGTCAAGCCCTCCAGAAAGCTGCGGGGCCTGGCTCGCATCCTGTGTATTCTCTTGTGTCTTTGTCATGGTCAGATCAGCTGTCCTTCTCCAGTGAAGCTATTAATGATCCTGATGGTAGGAGGAGGGGTTTGACACCCCCCCTCCCCTCATCCCCCCCTCCCGGCAAGTGATGGCAATAGGTCCCTGGGTGGGGGGGGGACGACTCTCACCCCTCCCTTGCCTGGTCCTGTATAGACCCCAGCCCCCTTCAGAGCTGTAGAGAGCACACTCAGTTTTAACTGTCCATCTTTTGGGGCGTCCCAGTGAGACTCAGTGGTATTTTGTTGCAAGTACGGTTCCTTCAGTTCTCTGGGCTGGTGGTTAAGGAGATGTTTGTTTGTTTGTGTTTACTGTCTTCACTTCTGGGGTATTTCTCATGTCAGCTTTCTTCTCTGTCCTCGTTGGTCCCCTTTTCTTTATTTTTGGACGGGACGTTAAGGTCGCGTAGTTCTGTTAGTGCCATCGTCTCTATCGCAACAGCACACGTGTTTTTCTCACATGGTACACTTGGCCAGAGGAAGGAGGTGAGGGACCCAGGCCCCCTCATCACACAGGGGAGCAGTTTCCTCACCCCTTCACCCCTCCTCTCTGTCCCCTGGAGCTCTACCTTTAATGTGCCGGGGAGGCAGAGAACAAGACATCACACCCCACTCCTTCTGATCCGTCTGCTTTTCTAATCGGGCCCCAACAGATGGAGCATAGAGAGAAGGGTTTGACGTAGCCCCGTGGGGCTAACAAGGTCACCGAGGGGGCTGGGAGATGGACCTTGGGCTGAACATTGCTCCCCCTGCCTCCAGCCTCAGGCCCGAGGAGCTTAGGTGCTGCTGTTGGCCCTGGGGCCTGAGCCGGCAGGATGCAGGTTCATGGAGCCACCACCCATGGGCCCAAAGCCGACCCTGGTGCCCATGGCTCGATTTGCACAGCTTCTGTGCCTGTCTCTCATGAGTGTCAGAAAATCTGGGTGCGTGCTTCACTTACATCTTCCAGTCCCTTCAGGGGTGCCTCTCGGGGAAATCACCAGGACAGGGATTCTGGAAAATGCCCTTTCCACTCAAAGAGGGGAGTGGAGATGGCATGTTGACAAGAAACAAGTGGGGGTGGGGGGTGGGAACACCAGCTAAAGAATTGAGTGAAGTTTGATAACTAAAGCAAGGGCCTGAGGGGCGGGGTGAAGCCAGGAGGCAGGACTAGAGTATTGAGAACAGGTTTCACAGCGGGAGCAGTGTATGAAGGGGAAGCAGTTGCTGGGGAAAAGGGAGTTCAAGGTGTAGGAATGACAGACTCTTTAGGCAAGTGTCTCTGGCACATTCGACCCCTGGCCTGGGCCTCTGCCTTGCTTGGGCAAGTGTTAGAAAAAGTATCTTGAGTTCTGCCAACAAGGGTGGCACGGAGCACCCTCTCCATCAGAAAGTCTGCCCAGAGGTGCTCTGTTCTTTCACCCTGTTGGCTGGTGGGTCTAGCCCTGTAAAGTGCCCAGAGGCATTCCAACGCTGCCCTCTTACCAGCCAGGCGTCTAATTCTGCCACCGCTGGCTGCCTCTGCTTCTCACCGTCTTAGGTTGTCGCTGGTGTTGCAACTCGGGTCTAGGACAGTGGTTCTCAACCCTCCTAATGCCGTGACCCTTTAGTGCAGTTCCTCAT